ACGCGTAGATGATGTAAACAAAGAAAAAAAAACAAAAATACTTATCGTTCGGAAACCCGTGATCACCCTCTGTATTTAAATATATTTATGTTTTAATGTCAGGTAACAAGCGAATCACCAACAACACCTTCATCATTCCCTATCATTCCTTCAGTGATGATAACTCCTCCTTCTTCTGTTATTAAAATGACAACACGTAAAGACATATTATCTAACAAAACGGCATTCAAAGCTGTGACAGCACCCAAGGCAATGGCATCTAAAGCGATGGTATCAATGGCAATGACATCCAAAGCGACGGCATCAACAGTAACGGCATTCAAAGCGATGACGGCATCTAAAGCGATGGTTGATTAAGGGTAGACAAAATCTATACTAGTATTTATTGCTGTTTATAAATGATTTAACGTCAATGATAATTTACTAGCAGCTAATGATTTGCGTAAATTGACTAAATTAATTAAAATTGGTCAAAGTAACTCATCAAAACTTAATTTGATAATGGAACATCAAGAAAGACTAGAAGCTATGATAAATGAACAAAAGGGTCAGATTGCGAAAATAATATCAAGATTGGAAAATCTAGATACTCTGACTGAAGTTGAAGTGAAAGATGGCAAAGGCAAAGGAAAAAATAAAGGGAAAAAGTCAGAAGAATTTTATCAAGTAAATATAATTTATATCATTTCTTTATATTATTTTAGTACTATATAATTACTTGTATTATAGGATACAATCAAAAAACTTGCTCATGAACTATTTCATGAGCACCAACAAGTAAATGACATACAAATGAAAATGTGTCTCAAAGATAAGTTAGAAAATAACGAAGATTCTGCCGAATAACTTCAGATGTTGCGTCATAGAGATATTTTGTTCGATCAATTATGGAATGAAAAATTATGTTCAAGTGTAAGTAGTATTTATTTTATACAATATAATCTTATCAGTTGATAACTTTATATTAATTTATTTAACATTTTCAATATACTAGCTTCTTAATGCAAATCATGTAAAGAAAGGGTATTATGTAAGAAGATTAAAGGAGAGTCTATGGAGCACTTTCGGAATTAACAGAATAAAGTCCTATGGAGATGATTTTAGCAAGGAGCAGATGAGAATGTGAAAAGGGAGTGAAAGTGTTAGAAAAGTTCACGAGGATTTGTACATGCCGAGCAACCCAGATGATCCATCATCTGATACTTATATCACATTAATCATTAAATCTATTTTCACATTCGAAAAAGAGCGTACACAAAAAAATGACATTTGGACTCAATCAGTATTGGAGGTTATATTCGACGAGAATTACCTTTCGACAAAAATTGATTCAGATATTGTTGAATCCTGGACTGAAAATTTAATAGACGTGGAAGCGGTAAATATTTAAGCGTTTAGTATTTTTGAAACTAATTAACTTACTAATATTAAAATAATTTATTTAGGGCTCAGAAAATAATGATTATTCGCCTAATAGTGAAGCACTGACGCATAGTAATCCACATGATAATGATTACTATGATAATGATGATAGTGATGACCATTATGATGATAATGATGGTTTCGGTGATAATAACTGAGATTATGCATCATGGTGCTATGTAGTACTTTTTTTTTCCTTTTTTTTCTTTTTCTTATGTAAATCCATTTTTTTTAGATGAATAATCATGATCATTTGTTTATTGCAGTCAGGAGTAGAAATGTATTATGATTATATTTTAGCGTATTTTAGCATATTTTTATTAATAAATTTATATTGATAATCGTATTTCTCAACTAAAATTGACGTTATTATATGCATTTTTAAATGGCATTGTTTTACTATATGTATTGTTCTATGCTTAAATTATGTTGTTTTACGTGTTTTTGAATAGCGTTGATTGACAAAGGGTTTGTTACACAATACTTTTAGGTATTGATCAATACTATATATATGTTAACACATTAAACACCTATTTCAAACATCCTGATGATTCAATAAGAAGCAAGATAAAATTAAGTATCATGCCTCCTCAATTAACAATTGTATCTATGCTATCAAAAATATTCTTGCTAAAAAAAAAATTATATTTCAA